TGGCGGTGCGGGGCTGGGTGCGGGGCTGGGTGGCGGTGCGGGGCTGGGTGGAGGTGCGGGGCTGGGTGGCGGTGAGGGGCTGGGTGGAGGTGTGGGGCTGGGTGGCGGTGCGGGGCTGGGTGGAGGTGTGGGGCTGGGTTGTGGTACAGGGCTGGGTCAGGTGCTTCTGCAGGTGAAAGGCAGCCAGCAAATGGGGCAGGGGAGCAGGAGCACTGAGAGTTGCGCTGGGTGTGGAGCTCTCTAGGTACTGCCCCTTGTTCTAGAACCCTCTTTTGTATGACCCAAAGCACACTGGATTGAATCAAGGGGGGCATCTACCGCTGAAACCACTCTGTCACCACTGATGAGTTACATCAAGCCTTTGAGCTTCCATTTTTCCACTGCAGAAAACAGTGTGACTAATAAAATTCCACAGGATTTCACTTGGGGTAGAGGGAGCAGCGGGGGCCCTTCACTTGGGGTACAGAGGGAGCAGTGGGGGCCCTTCACTTGGGGTACAGAGGGAGCAGTGGGGACTCTTCACTTGGATACAGAGGGAGCAGTGGGGGCCCTTCACTTGGGGTGCAGAGGGAGCAGCGGGGGGCCCTTCACTTGGATACAGAGGGAGCAGCAGGGGCCCTTCACTTGGGGTGCAGAGGGAGCAGTGGGGGCCCTTCACTTGGGGTGCAGAGGGAGCAGTGGGGGGCCCTTCACTTGGGGTGCAGAGGGAGCAGCAGGGGGCCCTTCACTTGGGCTGCAGAGGGAGCACTGGGGGGCCCTTTACTTGGGGTGCAGAGGGAGCAGCGGGGGGCCCTTCACTTGGGGTGCAGAGGGAGCACTGGGGGGCCCTTCACTTGGGGTGCAGAGGGAGCAGCAGGGGGGCCCTTCACTTGGGGTGCAGAGGGAGCAGCAGGGGGGCCCCTCTGTGCCAGCCTTCCACGGCGAGTCCACTGTGCAGGGGAGCAGCATCAAGACCAAGCCATGTCTGGTCCTCTCCAGCTCACTTTCCGGTGGAGGAGCAGAGATTGAGGACGTGCACGCCCAGCCAAGTCAGCCAGCTTCATGACCAAAGGTCAGCCCCCTCCCCAGGCCTCTCCTGCAGGACCTTCCTCCACAGCGCCCCTTGCCACTGGCTTTTGCACTGTTTCATTTTTCTCCTCCCAAGCCCCCCAAGACAGGGGGAGGAGGGGTCCCCGGTTCATTGTGGGACTCAGTGTCTCCTCCAGGCTCAGGGGCTGGCACCCCACTGGAACACTTACCTATCTTTGGGGCTTGGAGGCTTTTTGTTGCCATGGATTAAATGTGGGGCCTGGTCCATACTAAGTACACCCACTACCCTGAGCCACAGTCCCCCCTCCATCCCACGCTACCTCCTCCACAGCTTTGAATGCACAAAGGAAGTGTCTGCAGATGCCAATACAGTAAGGAGGTGCAACTGGGCTCTAGACAGATGATGAAGACACTGGCTTTGCTGACCAATGACAGAGCATGAGAAACTCGCTAGTGGGTTGTGGAGACGAGCACTTTTTCCTAGGGATTTAGGAACTCGGTGAGCGAGGACATCTCCCTCAAAGCCAGGACAAGCTAGAGACTGCAGCGCCAGGACCCCGAGCTGCCTGTGAAGGAGGAGCACCCTAAAGCGCTACCTTCCACGCGACGGCCGACGGCCCCTACGGTCGGTGCCCAGGAGTGGCTACCTGGGACGGTCTGCGGTGGGTGGCTGGGGCTGGTGGTGAGGACGTAGAGGACCTTGGAGTGGGCAGCGCTGACGCTGAGGTTGGCCTGCTCTGTGATCACCTCGGCCAGGGTCTGGTTGACAGTGGGCCTCTCCTGTGGCGGCTCTTCCTTGACGGCTGGAAGATGGAAAGGGACGATAGGGAGGAGAAGGCACAGGTCACGAAGATGAGGCCCTTCTCTCTGATTCAGCTCCGCCTGCCATCTCTTCCACTGGGCCTGCTGGCTCCACAGCAGAACCGGTCAGCTCTGGCCCTGGCCTTGCAGGAGGCAGACACCTGGTCATGCTTCTGGTTCCCTACCCTCCTCTGCCTGGAATACCCTCTCTACCCTGTTCTTCAGGACTGTCCCATCTGGAGGGGAGGCCCCTTCCTGCCCATCTCCTTAGCACAGGCCACCCGAACTCTCCTTGTGTTGTGCAATCCAGGAGAAGATGCGTCTGCACACCTGGGCATCTCAGAGGCTGATGGGACACATGCTGTGTTCACACCAGGGAGGCAACACCTCTGGTCTGCACTCCAGGAGGGTTTAGAGGAGGGGTAGTTAGTCTTCAGGAGCGGCTGGGGTGTTCAGTGGCAGGAGGATCAACTGACCGAGGTCTCGAGAGACATCCCGTTCTGCTGACCTCAGCGTTCTTTCAGTTATCCTTTAGCCCTCCCACGAAAACTGTCATCAGAACTATTAAAATAGCAGAACTGAAACATGAGCACATTGTGCACGTCGGGGAGGTAGGGGGTGAGTCTAGCACTGGGACGATCTAGAGTTGGGTCAGTGGCTCCAGCTCCGGCGTGTCCAACAAGAGCCACACAAGCTTTGGAAGTCACACTACTGGGGAGAGAGGCCCAGGAGGCCCAGGCCCCAGGGAGGCCCCCGGCGAGATGAGTGTGTCTTACCTTGGTATAAGACAGCAAAGCCCTGGGCCTGATTGATGCGATCGGAGAAGAAATATAAGATGACGAAATCCAGAGAGACCTTAAAGGACAAAGGTGGGCGGTTCCTCCCGTTGAAGCGGACCAGGACGCGGTGGGTGTAGCCATCCAGCAGCTCCACCATGTCCGCTGAGTCCCTGATGTCAAATAAGGTGAAGTTGAAGTGGATGTGGGAGGCTCCGGGCACCCGAATGGTCCAGTAGCAGACCCGCCCCGTGGCGTAGGTGTCAGGAAAGTCAGGGGAGTAGACCACGGAAGTCATGGCTGAGTAGTTTCCACCGCAGGCGCCAACAAGAGCTGCAGACAGACAGAAGACATGGTGCTGACTTTTGGTTGGGCCCCCCCCCCGGGCTCACTCGCCAACACCCACAAAAAACAAAACTCTTCTTAGGGAGCCTGATCTCATTTCGTGTATTGTCTTTAAGCTACAAAACCAAACCTTCTTAGGTTTCAGGATCAAATCACAGCATGAATCACTTGAACTCTTAGCAAATGACAGTGGAGACCTTTTTGGTTTTGCCCAGGAGACCTAGGAATTAGCACACAGCACAGTGGTGCAGCCTAGGTTGGGGCCAGGCTGGAGTCAGAGAGTCTGGGCTGGGGACTGGCAGGGCCATATGATTCCTGGAGCCACACTTTCTCCTTCCCAGGCCTCTCCCATCTCGGCTTCCACCACCTGCTCTGGTATCCCGTGACAGTGCGAGGACAGATGAGACGGAGTGGTGGAAGCACTGGAGGCTGGCAGGAAGGCACTTGATGAGAGAGGTCGTAAAGAAGCAGGCCTTCGCGTCTGTGGGCAGCCCCGCTGCTTACAGACACAAAGCTCCCACGAGGGCTCCCGCTCCCACTTTTCAAGTAGTAAACTATGACATTCCGCCCTAGGGACCTAGCTCAGTGGTGCGGTGCTTGCCTAGCATGCACAAGGCCCTGAGTTTGATCCCTGAACTGAAAGAAAAAAGAGAGAGAAAAAGAGAAAGAAAGAAAGAAAGAGAGAAAGAAAGAAAGAGAAAGAAAGAAAGAAAGAAAGAAAGAAAGAAAGAAAGAAAGAAAGAAAGAAAGAAAGAAAGAAAGAAAAGATTTTCTACACAGCAGGAATACTAGATTGTCATCAGGGCACCAGGCATGTTGGATTTTTCTGGATTCCAGTCGTTGGCAGGCTCTCAGAAGGGGACACAATCTCTATTTTCCATGGTAAAGTATAAACAAGATCTTGGGAAGGCGTTAGGACACGGTATGGTGCTGGGATTTAAGAAGCAGGCTTGAAGGGTTGAGTGAGCTGGCTCACACTTGTAATCCCAGCTACAAGGGAAATGGAGACCAGAGGATTGTGGTTGGAGGGGACTAGCTCCTGGAAGCAAAAAGTTAGTGAGATTCCATCTCAGCATAGAAACTGGGCCTGGCTGTCACCCCAGCTGTGAAGGTGGTGAAGGAGGAGGATCACAGCCCAAGGCTTGTCTAGGGAAAACACAAGATCCCATCTGAAAAACAAAGGAAAAAAAAGTAAAGGATATGGCTCAAGCGGTGGAGCACCGCCCTAGTAAGCATAAAGCCTCAAGTTCAAACCCCAGTACCAAACCTACTCTCCAAAAATAACCAAAAAGCAGTCTTTAAAAGACTTCTGCTTCCCTCTAGGACATTGAAAGCAACCAAAAAATATGCTAATTGCCACGCATCGTGACGCATTTCTGTAATCTTAGCACTTGGAGGCAGGAAAACTGTGTGTTTGAGATCCCATCTCAAACACTGAGAGTGCAGCTCAGCGATAAACCTCTTGCCCAGCATGCCAAGGCCTTCTGTTTGATCCCCAGCACAGAAAAACAAAAGCTTTCTCATCTTAGGAATGAGAAAAATTCTAGACAGTAAGAAGCCCCTCCAAGGAGAGCTGGGCTGCAAAAGGGGGCTCAGCTGTGACCATGTGGGAGGAAGCGGTGGCCAGTACTGGACAAGTAAGCAGAGGGCAGATCCATTCTTCACTGGCCTGCAGGGCTGAGTGTGGGCTTGCCCCTCAGCTGAGGATTACAGGAGGCTAGACACGGGGTGTTTCATGTTCTGCAAGCTGTTGCAGGCTGAGTGCTGCCAAGAGTCACTGGGGCTGGGGGCAGGGGGGGCAGGGGAGGGAACGGCCAGAGCCCCTCAGTGGCAGAGGTATGAGGGAGTGTTGGCTACCACTGAAGCACTACCCTTTCCTGGGCTCTCAGAAGAGCAAAAACCCCTCCCCTGCAGGGGGAGGACAGCAAGCACCCCTCAGCTCCTGGGGCAGGCCGTTAGAGGGTAGAGGCAAGCAGGCAGCAATGCCCTGCTTCAGGGAGGAGAGCAGCAGAAGTAAGTGGCACATCCCTGAGTCCTCCTGGGGAGGGGCAGGAAGCTTTCTTTCCTAAGATCCATCTTGGGCAAGGCAGTGTGTGGGGTGCGGGAAGGCTAGAAGCCTTGACACCACTTCCCAGTAGCCTGTTCTGCCTAAGCCTGAGAACGGAGGCAAGGCAGCCCCAAACCCTGACCTCCGGACTGAGGACAGAAAAGTGGGAAGGAGGAGGGCGCCCTTCTGAGGTCCAACGCTGAGGGTGGATCAGGAACATGGAGACCCACTGGGCTCCTCTGCCCTGTGCCACCCACCGCCAGAGGAATTCAAAGCCTGACCTGCATTGAGGCAGTGCAAATATGACACCCAGACCCAGCTCCACCACGGCTGCAGCGCCCAGCTGGCCTCAAGTATGCACGCTGCTGCCCTCAGCACCCGCCACGCTCTCTTCGGCAGAAAACTATAGCACATGCACGAAAGCAAAAGGGAAAGTGGGAGGAGACTGTCAAGAGAGAACATGGCCGTGCTCACACTTGTAATCCTAGTTACTCCAGAGGCTGAGGTCTAAGGATTGTGGTTCGATGCCAGCCCAGTTAGAAAAAGGCTATGAGACTCTCATCTCCAATAAACTACTCAAAAAAAAAAAAAAAAGTTGGAAGTAGAACTGTGGTTCACGTGGGAGAGTGCTAGCCTTGAGCAGAAGTAGCTCAGGCTGTTTTTGCTTTTGGAGTTTTTTCTTTTTGGGGGGCTAAGGAGGTGTGCAGAAAGGGGGGAAGGAGGCGTGAATGAATGCAATCACGCTATTCAGTATATCTATGTGGAAAATGAACTATGTAACTAGCGGGCAGGGACAGGAGAAGAAAACTGGAGGTGACATTGGACAAAAAGAAATGTACTCATTACCTGACTTATGAAATGGTAACTCCTCTGTACACCTTACTAACAACAATAAAATTATATTAAAAAAAAAAGATGCCAGGTGCTGGTGGCTCACGCCTATAATCCTAGCTACTCAGGAGGCTGAAATCTGTGGATCGTGGTTCAAAGCCAGCCCGGGCAGGAAAGTCTGTGAGACTCCTATCTCCAATAAACCACCAGAAAACCGGAAGTGGCACTGTAGCTCAAGTGGTAGAGTTGCTCGCCTTGAGCTGAAGAGCTGAGGGATAGCGCCTGGGCCCAGAGTTCAAGCCCCATGACTGACCAAAAAAAAAAAAAAAGAAGGACATTGCCCGGACTCTGAGTGCAAGCTCCAGGACCAGCACAAAACAACAACAAACAGCCAGACTCACACTTGTAATCCTAGCTACTCAGGAGGCTGAATTCTGAAGATTCCAGTTTGAAGCCAGCCAGGTAGACAAATCCAACTCATCTCCAATTAACTAACAAAAAGCTGGAAGTGGTAGTATAGTTCAACTGGTAGAGTGAAAGCCTTGAGTGAAGAAAAAAAGCTAAGCAAGAGTATAATCCCCTCAGTTCAAGCCCCAGTACTGACACACCCACACTCACACACAAAGAGAGGAAGAGAGAGAGAGAAAACAATCTGCAGAGCCATATTCTCAGGTGAGTTGGATGTTGGACCTTTCAGACATGAAGTTACTATGACTACAGTTAAGTATCTGTTGGAAGTTATTGAAATATTACAGAGATACAGAAATTATTAAAAGGGAGCAAATATAAGAGCAGCTAATATGATAAAACAAGTTCGAATCACCCAACATATGTTTAATTATAGCCCCACAAGGAGCTAAAAATGAAAAAGCACCGGGCATCAAGTTTAGCATATAGCAAGTACTGAGAAAGTACAATTATTTTTTGTCACAGTTAATTCATTTAGTGCATGTCTGTGTGAGGACTAGCACTTTCTTTTCTTTTTTGGGTCGGGTCATGGGGCCTGAGCTCTAGGCCTGGGCACTGGCCCTCAGCTCTTCAGCTCAAGGCTAGCGCTCTACCACTTGAGCCACAAGGTCACTTCTGGCTTTTTCTGCTTATGTGGTGCTGAGGAATTGAACCCAGGGCCTCATGAGTACAAGGCAAGCACTCTACCCTGGAGCCACCTTCCCAGCCCCTTTATGTGTGTTTTTAGCAGTAAAGGTAATAAAACAACTTATGTCCACTTGACATCACTAATAAAGGCACTACACTAAACGAAATGCAGTTTATCTGCTCAAATAAAAAGATGCTGATGGATAAAAGACTATCAAGAATAAAAACTATAGTCAGGTGCTGATGGCTCATGCCTGTAATTCTAGCTATTCAGGAGGCTGAGATCTGAGGATCACGGTTCAATGCCAGTCAGCGTAGGAAAGTCTATGAGACTCTTATCTCCAATTAACCACTAGAAACTGGAAGTGGTACTGTGGCTCAAAGTGGTAGAGCTCTAGTCTTGAGCACAAAAGGTCATTGACAGTACCCAGGCCCCCAGGTCCTGAGTTTAAGCCCCATGACTGACAAAGAATAAATGAATGAATGAAATCTATAGCTCTGTATGTGTGTGTGTGTGTGTGTGTGTGTGTGGTGCGTGCATGTGCACACCAGTACTAGGACTTGAACTCAGGACTTGGGATACTGTCCCTTAGCTTTCTGTTTTTTTCTTCTCAAGGCTAGCACTCTACGCCTTGAACCACAGCTCTACTTCTGGCTTTTTGGTGGTTAACTGGAGAGTCCCATGGATTTTTCTGCCTGGGCTGGCTTTGAACTGAGATCCTCAGATCTCAGCCTCCAGAGTAGCTAGGATCACAGGCATGAGCCACTGACACCAGTCTTCTTTCCACCAGACTCAATTGTAAAGTCTCATGACCACAGAGTGGGTGCGGAGGATTATGGCAAGGGACTGGGGCCTCAGAGGGAAACGCTTTGGCTCTGCCTCTAGCTGGCATCTCACACAAGTGGCAGCTTAGAGACGAGGTGGCTCAGGGTGAGCCCAGTGCCAGACTGGAAGAACAACTTGAAGCCCTTGCTGGCACCTGAGATGCACAGGAAAGAGGAAACCCCAAAGCCTACACCCCACGAAGCAGGCTGAAACAAACCACACAGCTCCGTCAGTGTCCGTGTAGAAGTGGACTGTCTGCAGCTTAGAGGAGGTTATGCTGCACCACCACACTCTCAGCACTACCCGTAGGTGAGACGGTTATACCTCTGTCCTCCAGGGCTCCGCCTGCCTGTGCGGTGCGGCACAGCTAGGGTGCTTGGTGAGCTCTGGCAGGTGAGTGAGTGAATTGGTGCAAGACAGGCAGAGGTGGGCGCCGTGCGTACTCACTGTCAAAGAGGATGATCCTGCCATCGCCACCACACGGCTGAGTGTGGTCCCCAAAGCAGACGCTGTTGCACTCAGTGCTGGCGGCCTCCCCGTACTTCCAGTAGTCAGCATTGTTCCCGCAGAAGCACGCGTAGCCTGATTCCATCCCAGCGAACTGCAGGGCACAGAGGGGAGCATCAGCAGTCAGCACACCCACCCAGGCCACCGTGCCCCGGCCGCTCCCCATCTCATTCCACAGACACGCAGTTCCTGGCAGAGCAGAGGGACTCACTGATGTTTCCCTGTCAGTGAGAATCCTTTCTGAAGTTTGCGTTTCCACTGTATTTTAGTTAAGTTTTAAGGGTGAGGAAAATCCCATAAACTTGAAATATTACTAACAGCTAAAATTTAATGGGCTATTTACTACGTGCTAGGTAGTAAATGCTTTCTTTATACCTAATCCTAATAGAAAACTCAGTATAGGCCCCCAGTGAAAATTTCATTTCATGTTGGGCACTGGCGGCTCACGCCTGTAATCCTAGCTACTCAGGAGACTGAGATCTGAGGATCACAGTTCCAAGCCAGCCTGGGTAGAAAAGTCCATGAGATTCTTATCTCCAATAAACCACTAGAAAACCAGAAGTAGAGCTATGGCTCAAGTGGTAGAGCACTTGCCTTGAGCTAAAGAGCACAGGGACAGCACCTAGGCTCAGAGTTTAAGCCCCACGACCAACAAAAAAAAATAATTTCATCTTTTATATTACCAGAGAGGCATATAGTTCTCTTTTTATTATTTACTTAATTTTTTCGTTGGCCGAGGGGCTTGAACTCTGGGCCTAGGCACTGTCCCTCAGCTCTTCAGCTCAAGGCTAGTGTTCTACCACTTGAGCCACAGCACCACTTCCGGCTTTCTGATGGTTTATTGGAGATAAGAGTTTCATGGAAGCCGGGTGCTGGTGGCTCACGCCTGTAATCCTAGCTACTCAGGAGGCTGAGATCTGAGGATCGCGGTTCAAAGCCAGCCCGGGCAGGAGAGACCGTGAGACTCCTATCTCCAATAAACCACCAGAAAACCGGAAGTGGCGCAGTAGCTCAAGTGGTAGAACTCTCGCCTTGAGCTGAAGAGCTGAGGGACAGCGCCCAGGCCCAGAGTTCAAGCCCCACGACGGACAAAAAAAAAGAGTTTCATGGACTTTCCTGCCTAGGCTGGCTTTGAATCACGATCCTCAGATCTCAGCTCCTGAGTAGCTAAGATTACAGGCAAGAGCCAGCTTTATTTTTTATTTTTGTGCCAATCATGGGGCTTGAACTCAAGACCTAAGCACTGTCCCTGAGTATTTGTACTCAGGGCTAGTGCCCTACACTTGAACCATAGTTCCACTTCCAGCCTTTTGTGGTTAATTTGAGACAGAAGTCTCATAGACTTTCCTGCCTTGGCTGGCTTCAAATGGTGATCCTCAGATCTCACTCAGCCTCCTCAGTAATTAGCATTACAGGTGTGACCACCCATGCCTGGCTTTTTAAAAAAAAACTGTCTAATTATATGCCAACACTAGATACATAACTCTTAGACACTAGATTCTTACCATATACATGATTTGTAATGTTTTCTTTTACCCAGGAGTTGTCTACTTCTTGTTAGTGACCTGAGACACAGAAGTTTTTTGTTGCTTTTTGGTCAGTTGTGGGACCTGAACTCTGGGCCTGGGCACTGTCCCTGAGCTCTTCAGCTCAAGGCTAGCGCTCTACCACTTGAGCCACAGTGCCACTTCCGGCTTTTTCTGCTTATGTGGTGCTGAAGAATCAAACCCAGGGCCTCATGCATACAAGGCAAGTTGTTGTTGCTGCTGGTCCTGGGGCTTGCACTTAAGGCATGAGTGGTATCCTTGAGCTCTTTTTGCTCAAGGCTAATGCTCTACCCGCTGAGTCACAGCTCTAGTTCTGGCTATCTGGTGTTTAACTGGAGATGACAGTCTAAGGACTTTCCTGCTTGGGCTGGCTTTGAACCCTGATCCTCAGATCTCAGTCTCCTGAATGGCTAGGATTATTGGTGTGAGCCACCAGCACCTGGTATTTTTAAAACCTTGCTGACATCCAATTTATCAGTTTTTCTTTGGTGTGCACTTTTGCTGTCATAACTAAGGAACCACTGCTTAATCCAAACCTGAGGTCAGGCATATTTATGCTGTTCTTCCTGCTAAGGGTTTTCACAGTTTTAACTCTTATACTTAGGTTTTTGATCCATTTTAATCTTATAAATGCAGTCTAGAATAAAGGCCCATATTCATTCTTATTCATGCAGGTATCCAGGTGCTTTAGTACCTTTGTTGAAAAGACCATTTTTTTCTTTTTCCATATTAGGATTCTGGCACCTTTGTTGAAAAGCAACAGATCATCAATATATGAGTTTACTTAGAACTCTTATTTCTACTCCACTATGTCTATTTTTCCCCCCGAGGCTGGAGTTTGAACTCAGGACTTCATGCTTGCTATGCAAGTGATCGACTGCTGAGTCATGCCTCCAGCCCTTTTTTGTACTGGTCATTTTGAGATAGGGTCTTGCTTTTGGCCTAGCCTCAGGCCTCGATGGTGATCCTCCTATTTCATTCACACTTTCTGACTTAGCTAACAGATGTGCACTGATTTTTCCATTGAGATGATATCTTGCAACCTTTTTTTGCCCAGGCTGGCTTAGAACAGTAAATCTTCCTGACATCAGTCTATCTTGTAGCTAAAATGATAAGGAAACGCCACTCTTCTTGCTATTAGTTGAGAATCTTTTGCCTGAACTAGCCTTTAACCTTGATCCTCTCAATCTCAGCCTCTGGAGTAGCTAGGATTATATGTATGAGCCACTGTGCCCAGCTTTAATCTACATATACTTAAAAGTTAGTTTAGCAAAATACACTTTCATCCTCATTGTCTTCCAGAATCACACAGCCACAGACCCCTTACCTTAAACCTCTGACTCCGACAAAAGCTGATGCAGGTTTGGATGGTGAGTTTGTTGGATGTTTTGCTGGCACCAGTTAGAGGAGGTGGGTTTCCGTGGTCCTTGTAGCAGCCAAGGTTTCCAGGCACTGGGGTGAAAAAGAAGTATTTCTCATCTGGTTGTGAAATACCAGGGAAGAGTGATGCGCGCCAGGGGCTGCCATCTCATCTGGTGTTTCTACTCCTGAGGCACAAACAAATAACCTGCCGCGAGCTTCAAACGCAGAAGCCTCAGTGTTCTCTGCCAAGTACCATGCTTTTGTTTTGTTGTGATGAGTATGTAAGATCCAGGTTTTTCTCTAGCAACCCTAAGGGCCCTACTGACCTCGCTGGTGATGATAGGAGAAGGAGGACACATTTCTGAAAAAAACAGACAAACTGTCAGATGCAAATTATGTTTCAGATTCACTAGAGGGAGCTGGGCATAGAGGTGGATGCTTGCAATTCCAGCCCTCAGGAGCGGATCAGGGCAGGAGGGTCATGAGTTCAAGGTTCATCAGGGCTATACAGCGAGACCCTACCTCAAAAATAACCCCAAACAAAACAAACAAATGAGCTGGGCACTGGTGGCTCATGCTTGTGATCCTAGATTTCAGGAGGCTGAAATCTGAGGATCGTGTTTGAAGCCAGCCTAAACAGGAAAGTCTTGGGATTTATCTCCAATTAATCACCAGAAAACAGGAAGTAGAACTGTGGCTCCAAGTGGTAGAGTGCTAGCCTTGAACAAAAAAAGCTCAGGGACAGTGCCCAAGCCTTCAGTTTAAGCCCCAGGGGACGGACACACACACACACACACACACACACACACACACTAGAAAATTCATCATCCTAACACACACACACACACACACATATGAAAACTCATCCTAACACACACACACACACACATGAAAACTCATCATCCTAACACACACACACACACACACACACACACACACACACACACATGAAAACTCATCATCCTAACACACACACACACACACACACACAAATAAATAAATGAAAACTCATCATCCTAACCCCCCCCTGTTCCATTCAAAGTGCTACAAGTTAAGGTTCCACAACGTTTTTAAGTTTCTGTCATTGTTTTGTCTTTGTCCAATACTAGGGTTTGAAGTCAGAGACTTGTGTTTACTAAGCTTACTGGCTAGTTTTCTACCTCTTGAGCCATGTCTCTAATCTGGTTTTTTGCTGATTATTTTGGAAAAGTCTGACTTTTCTGCCCAGGCTGGCCTCAAGCTATGATCCTCCAGATCTCAGCCACCTGAGTAGCTAGGCTTACAGGTGTGAACCACTGGCTTCAGAGTCTGAAGGTCTTTTGGTGAGTGGACTGATTTCTTATTGTGATTAAATAAATACCCATAAACCTACTTGTTTATGATATAAATTTGTAACCAGAAGAACTGAATGGATCTTGCAGGGCTGAGTCTCTCCAGGGGGCTCTAAGAACGTGTTCTCTGCCTTTCATCCTGGAAGTGGCCCACATTCGTGGGTTTATGGCCAGAGCGTTGTTCGGTTGCCACCGTCACCTCTCCTTCTCTCCCTCAGCTTCCGCTGGGCCTCTCTTTGTAAGGACCCTTGGGGTGGCTGACCCAGGTTGGTCTATATCAAAATATTTAAACATGTCTAAAAAGTTCCTTATGCTATCTAGGGTCACATTTTCACAGACTTGAGACCCCAAATTCCTTGTTTTTCTTTTTTGCAGTGCTAGGGTTTAAACCCAGGGTATTGTTTATGCTGGGTGAGTACACTACCACTGAGACCATCAGACTCAAGATTACAAACATATGCGAGGTGCTGGTGGCTCACACCTAAAATCCCAGCTACTCAGAAGACTGAGATTGGAAGGATATAGTTTAAAGCCAGCCTGGGCAGACAATTTGTGAGACTCCAATTAACCAGCAAAAAGCCAGAAATGGAGGTGTGGCTCAAGTACTAGAGCCCCAGCCTTGAGAAAAAAAACAGCCAAGCAAGTTCTAGTACTAGCACAGAAGAAAAACTAGACATCTTTCAGGGGCCATCATTCAGCCTACCACAGTAAGCGTATCAGTGTTTCACAACCAAACCTCATGGTTTGGTTTGGCGAAAGAGGACTAGAGGAATGTAGGCAGTAGTCAGCTTTCCCAGATGGCCCGATGTTTGTTCCCAGCATGTTGTGATAAGAGGTGCACAGAGCGACCCAGCCCCTGGAATTTCCTGAGTAATTCTGTTCTCATGTGGCAACTCAGGGTGGGCTCCTAGTTAGTTTGAAGATAGGGGCTCTCATCAGAAAGATGAAGCCATTATTCCTTACCCTTCAAGAAGGGGTTTATCAATTACGTGATGAAGGTTCTTTAAAAACCTCCAAATGCTCTTTGGGAGTCAGAGGTTCCTGGGTAGCCAAACACATCCAGGTGCTGGGAGGATGGCACACTCTGTGGAGAGAAGCTTTGTGCTTGGGATCCTTCCAGACTCAAACCTCCATGCTTCTTATCTGGCTGGTGTCAGGACTCTTCATCACTCCTTTGATAATAAATGAACAAGCTGGGTGTCAGTGGCTCCCATCTGTCACCTTAGCTACTCAGGAGGCTGCGATCTGAGGATCTAGATTCAAAGCCAGCCTGGGCAGGAAAGTCTATAAGGCTTTTATCTCCAATTAACCATTAAAAAAGCCAAAAGCAGAGCTGCGACTCAAGTGGTAGAGCACTAGCCTTGAGCAAAAAAAAGCTAAAGAATAGCACCCAGGTTCAGAGTTCAAGCCCCAGTACTAGCAAAACAAACAAATAAACAAAAACATCAAATAAATGGGAACTGAAAAACAACAACAAAATCCCACAAAAACTTCTTTGGACAAATTTCTTACCTCTTGGTATTCATGCCCTATATAATGCCCTCTTTTTGAGTATAATCAGGACTAGTGATTTACTTTTGACCAATAAAAAGTGGCAAAGTTGACAGAAACTTTTTTTTTTTTTGGTCATGGGGCCTAAACTCTGGGCCTGGGTGCTATCCCTCAGCTCTTTAACTCAAGGCTAGCACTCTACAACTTGAGCCACAGCACCACTTCCGGCTTGTTCTGCTTATCTGGTGCTGAGGAATTGAACCCAGGGCCTCGTGTATGCAAGGCAAGCGCTCTACCACTGAGCCACCTTCCCAGCCCAGGAAGTCATTTTTTCAATTAGGTTACAAAAGTTCTTCAACTTGCCTCCTCAGTTAGTATACTTTTCTTTCTTCATTTTTTTTTAATAAGGCTTACTATGTTGTCTAAGGTGGCCTTGAACTCATGATCCTCTTGCTTTAGCCTGCAAAGTATTTAGGATTACAGGTGGGAACCATTGTGCTTGGCTTCATATTTCTATGAAGCAATAAGCTCTGTCAGAAGCCATGTGGCAAAAAAATTGAGGGTGGCTTTCAGCCAACAGCCAATATGAAACTGAGCCTTTTAGCTCAGCAGACCACAAAGAACCGATTCCTACTAACAACTATGTGAGTTGGGAAGTGGATCTCTCCCAAGTCAGGCCTTCAGATGAGATTCCAGCCCTGGCAAGCACTTTGATTTCAGCTTTATGAGAGACCTCAATGTTGAGGCCCACGCTAATTCACACCTGAATTTTATGGCTCATAGAATGTGTAAAACAATAAATATGTGCTTCTGTAAGTTTGTGGGAAATTGATCAGACAGCAAGAGACAACTAATACATACATACATACATACATACATAAATACATATAATACATAGCAAATCCACCATTAGCCATGGACAAACCAGCCATTCTGGACCTTAATTTTCTACCAACCTTATTGTGTGTGTGTGTGTAATACCAGGGCCCTGGGTGCTAGCCCTTAGCACTCTGTTGCTTGAACTATACCTACAAGCCTTCCTTTAATATAATTATTATAATTATTGTTATTATTATTTGTGTGTGCGTGCTGGTCCTGGGGCTTGAATTCAGGGCCTGGCTGCTGTCCTTGAGCTTTGCTGAACCACAACTCCACTTCTGGCATTTTTGGTAGTTAATTGGAGATAAGAATCTCAAAGAAGGGGCTGGGAAGGTGGCTCAGTGATAGAGTGCTTGCCTTGCATGCCTGAGGCCCTGGGTTCAATTCCTCAGCACCACATTTAAAAAAAAAAGCTGGAAGTGGTGCTGTGGCTCAAGGGGTAGAGTGCTAGCCTTGAACTGAAGAGCTGAGGGACAGCGCCCAGGCCCAGAGTTCAGGCCCCACGACCA